CGAATAAATTATGTGCTATATCACAAAATAAATTATTTGCTTTTAATGAAAATAACTATTTTTTATAGAGCTCTGTTAAAAGCTAAAACAAATTTTTTCTTGGAATAATTAATATTATAGTCAATATCACTGATAGTACGTACCATATAGTTATTATGTTCTTTACTTCTCTGTATATTATTACAACTAAATATTAAAATAGTAACATAATGAATATTAGTTCGAATTCGAAGCGTCCTTTAAAGTAAAATCATCTCCAAGGAAATTCAATTCGGGAATGTGAAAGTAGAAGGTTCGACCTTTAAAATAGCCTCAGAAAGATTATTAAACGACTTCCTTTCTTTGAATAATAAAAACGTATTCTAACATTTACAATCACTATTTATATCTTTCTATTATTAGATTAAAAAATATTTCGAGGCGATATAAAAATTCAAAATAGAATTCTAACGTTGTTAAGTAATTAACTAGTATTATTATGAGTTTGGTGCATTTTAAATATCTTTATACGTATTCGAACGTCGCGCGATCGCTGTTCCCTTGTTTCTAGAGCTTTAATCCAGCGGCCTCTAAGCGTTTGTTAATTTTTCAGGATACAAGTACACAGCCGGAACACGTCAACCCAGATTTGCTAAACACTTCGGGCGAGTTGTTGCGTGAAACTTCATACACGTACAGAGTAAATATATATCGATTCTTGTGTCTGTATGTCTTCCTCTCGCTTTGGCAGAATGGAGGACACGCGTTCAATCGAGGCTTTGATGTATAAATTGCAGCTTTCTCGTTTTCGATTCCACCTCCCCATCCAACTTTCTACTCCCTTTACTGGCACGATTCCTCCACAGAGACGAAAAGGGTATCCCGGCATCTATCACTTCTGCTTTTCTTTTCCTCGTGGACAATTGTTCTCGAGAACTATTGAGGCGTTTACTCCGTTCAAGATTCCGTTTCATTCTCTTACCGATGTTTCTACCAGTTCTAAACTCGGGCGCTTGCATTTTTCACGATTTTACACGAAATCCAGCCCAACGAATAACTTATAAACACTCGTAATAAATTTAATCTTAATCTCTTCAGAGACGATTTTCTTTTTTCTTTTTTTGGGTCTATTTATCATTGACAGTAACTATAATTATAAAAAAAAAAAAAAAACTAAACCTCCACATATGTGGTCAAGGGCGTGAAGAGGTTAAGGGAGTATTCTATTGTATTATTTATTTTGTCGTAAAGCTTTAAAAGAACATTTTCTGATATTTCCTATTAAACGAATAGAATTAATAGAATAGTTCGCCAAATAAATTTTATTTTTAAATTAACTGACAGAATTAACACACAGTATATGCTTAAATAAGTAATATATTTAATACAACAGGAAATATATAAATATGAACGAGCGCATGTTAGCTGTTGCAGCTCGAGATGCCAACCAAACAACAACCGAGTAACGTCGTGTGAACGCATCTCAAAGACGAAAGAAACAAAACATTCAACGACATGAACAACGCCCATCTCGACGGTCTATTTAAATTAAACACATATAGATCGCTTTCTCACATTAACAAAGTTTACTTTGGAGTTAGCTGGCAACTGTATTATAATATTCTCATAAACAAATCGTGACCATCGATTATTTTAATTATTTGTGGAAATAATCCTAAAAATAGTTATACAAGTTTTGCACTCAAATTAACCTTTTCACAGATTTAAATTCACCCTTTTACAAATTAAGTTTACCTTGTTGCAAATCGAATTCTCCCTTTCACGGATTAAATCCACCCTTTCGCTAATTAAATTCACTTTTTTCTGATTTTATCCAATATTTTTGTTTATGCACACATAAAATACAATTTTTATTTCGGAATAATAATTTCATATAAAAGTGAAAATATTATCAGTAAAAGGGTTAATTTATAGTGCAACCCCTATAAAGCAATAATTACGGTAGTAAAATACGACTAAATTTCTTTCCTTTCTAAATATAATTTCGTGTTTATCCAACGTCTACAGATAAAGAAATGCTCAATAAAAATTATATCGTGTCTTTTTTTGAAATTGACAAAATTCGTTTTGGAGTTGGGCTCTGATATTCTTGAAAGGAGAAGAGTTAATCGAATGTGCATCTGACCTAATCCTTACACGTACGATCAATAACCCTTTGAGTGGAATTTAACGCACAGATCGGTTGTTCGTTTTTTGAAAGTTATTCAACCTCACGGCGACTCGGAACCGATTAATAAAAGGAATGGATCGCGAATTGAGGAACGGTCTCTGCCGTCGCAAGGCCATCGCGGCTTAGTAATTTAATCAGCTAAAACTAACATCAGCTCTGTTTCCCCAACCCTCCTCGTCCTCGACCGTCTCTTTCTTCTCCCTACTGCTCTTCTTACCTCCGTAACCGACCAACCCCAAGATGATTTAATCTTCTAAAATGGTACAGGTACCTATAGGCACTTAGGTCCCGGGGTCGCGACATGAAACAAAATAATTCAAGAAAGTGAATACATATATATCTCCGGGGCGATAGACGTATACCCCTGCAACGGGAAATCTACTCTGCCCGCCGCTATAGATACAATTACTTGAAACGATGATACGACGAAAATTTCGAAATTTATCTACTCGTCACGACCCTATCAAAAACCAAAAATTTACACGTTCGAAAATTTATTATACACTCTGCTTGTAATTTCAACTATTATCTTCTTCACTTCAACCTCTTCGTAGTTCAGATATTTTATATTTATTATTTTCTCTTTTTCTCTACTTAATGGATGAAAAGAAATGACAATTGTGGAGGCTTCTCATATGATTTTGTGATCTTCATCATTGACTATATTGCATTACGAATAAAATTGTTTTTCAAGTTTGACGGATGTAAAAACTTGATATACACAGTCAAAAAATAGGTATAAAAGTAGTTTTCAATTTTTAGAGCTCAATGCGTTATATGTTACTTGAAATTTTAAGTATGTATAATTTTGATGTAGATTTTATGATATTTACACATTTACATGTTTTAATTATAGAAATAGAAAAATAATGTTTCCATTAAGAAAAATGAGAGGAAGAGTAAAGAATAAAGTTTTTTAATTGTACCTTTGATTTTGTTTATAGTTATTTCGATTACAAGATACGTAAAAGAAGGTGGAGGAAAGTAGAGAAAATAATTTTCAGGCAAAGAACATTTTGGAACTGCGATAAAAAATTAAAGAAGAGTTAAGATGGGGTGAAACCTTCCGAAGACCTCCATTTTTTCTTTCAGGTTGCAAAGTTCACCCTTAATGGCTTACTCCTAGGACCTTGGCTTGAATTATTGTTTTAGTCGTTACTGCATCACCTAGCCAATTCGTACTTTCAACATCACCATCATTTAAATAGATAGTTGCTTAATACTAGAACTAACGAAGTAGTCAAAATAATTCGCAATTTCTAATAAAAATTGTAAAATATTTACAGTTATTTATTTCCATTGCATTATACGTTTCTTCAAGCTTTTATCGTTTTAATTTCTCTAGTACAAATAAACGCAATATATGTGAATGTTAATGGAGATTATTCTGGGGCCAAAAATGTACTTTGACTGTTTAGAAATACATATTATAATTTCCATAAGAAGGTTAAGGATTAATTCGTGGATCTGATACTTGTGATTCGAGTAAATAATAAAGCGACAGCCTGTAGGCGCGAAACGTGGTTCGTAGAAAGTTTGATTAACCCTTTGATATACGATTTAATTCCAAATAATTTTTCAAACATATACTATTTAATTTGGTTTAAATTTGTTCGTGCAAAGAATGGTTTAAAAATGTGTTGATTTTAATTTAGAGGACTTGATGACGAGTGAGTAGCCTTATAATCATGAAATTTCACATCAAGAACTTATGACGTGTCAAATTCGTCATTGTATGGCAAAGGGTTAAAAATTTTAAGTTTCTATCGTTTTAATTTCTCTAGTACAAATAAATGCACAATATATGAATGCTAACAGAGATTATTTTGTAATTTGACTGTTTAGAAATACGTATTAAAATTTCCATAAGAAGGTTAAGGATTAATTCGTGGATCCGATATTTGTGATTCGAGTAAATAATAAAGTGACAGGCTGTAGGCGCGAAACGCGGTTCGTAGAAAGTCGTCGCATCCGAAATAACACCCTCGAACGCATAAAGGGCTTATCGCGCTCGCGATCGACCCGCGTATTTGCGTTTGCTCGAAGGTTATGATCCTTCTTTGCGCCCTATCACTGCACCAGGATCTACGACCCTGTGTACAGGGTCACAACACGTGGTTCGCGGACCGTGCGCAGGGTTCGCCACGTGGCGCAGATAACAGGATGGGGCAGACGCGCGGCGGTGGTTGCTTTCCCGGAGGGGTAGAAATCAACCCTCCGGAAAATTAAGTGCTTGTAGCTCAGATGATAACAGCGGTAGGAACGCGTCACTACGTCTACTTTGCCGGAGTTTCGTCGCACGGAAACACCAATCGAGAGCCACGGAAAACAACGGTTCACCAACTGATTCAAACATTTATGTCGATTGACCCCACGCTGCGTTTTTAAATTTGAAAATCCATGACTCCTTTTGGTCTTTCAAATTCGACAGTTTTCCCGCGCATTTTGGATACGTAGACTTTTAGAAAAATTCATCGAAACACTTTCGAGCGTGTAGTTTGACCGTACAAAATTTGGATGATTCAATGAAAGTTGAGGAACCTTTTTTTTGCAATTATCTTGCAGTACCATCTTTTGTTTATTTATAAAGAAAATTTTTCTGGCGCTATGAAAGACTCTAGTGTGATATTCCTTTAATAATAATTTCCTTTTAGAGATAGGATTTGTTGTTAGCACATGAATATTCTTGCAAATAAGAATGGTCCATCTACATGAATATTCTCTAACTAATTCGACTATAAAATATCGACTTATCGTTTAAACGAAATAAATTCAACGTTGACTGCAACAATGTCCAATTATTAATAAAGTATAATGCATCTTTTCTCACCTGTTTCGTCGCGGAGTCGATGAGCCTCACGTAAATATCCTGCACCTGTCTGACACCTATAACAAAAATAATAACAAATGTCTATGTAAGTTATCACCAAGTCTGATAAACGTCAGTATATTTTATGAAAATAATACAAACGTTCATAATGCAATAAATTTATTTATTTATAACAATTAGTTGAAGCCTATCTACTATCGCTAACGGTAATTGTTATCCTAATCACAATTCCTTATTCGAAGGATCTAAATATTTTTCAGTATCCTTAAAAAAATCATGACTAATGGCATATGTTTAAAAAAATCTACTTAGAGTTTGTTTTTCGATCTTCGATTAACAGAAAAATGTGTCTTTTGGATATCTTTGTGATCTTCAATTCATTCTAAAATCTAAATTTCTTGACTAATACTGGATTTTTCAAGAACTAGGAAATAAGCAATTATAAAGTGTCTCGAAAAATATTAGCTATCCTATTAAACGAAGTTGAAAGCACCGAGTTTTATTACAATTACGAACATATCATGATCGAATCGTTTCTCTCAAAAATTGAGGGAATGGAAACAGAAAAAGTAGTAAATATCCATACAGACTAATTAATAATGGCCTCCTTAGAGTTGGAAACAGTTTCACAAACATATTTCGACATGATCAAACCGTTTCTCTCAAAAACTGAGGGAACGGAAACGGAAAAAGTAGTAAATATCCGTATAGACTGACTAATAATGGCCTCTTCAGAGTTGGAAACAATTTCGTGTTGGTTTTTCTAGGTTAATATAAAGACAATACTGCTCTTTATTCAATTTAGCCCGCGAGTTTTTTCGCGATACGGTAAGAAGGCCCCATTAAGTTAAGAACGTTGTGCGCAGGCATTTGCGACGGATGTGCATGGAATACGACGAATACGGAAACGAGTTCAAATTCTGACAAGTTGGGCGCCGCAGAAAGGGACTGTCCCAGAAAAACTTACATATTAAGGAGCATTTAAGGTGGACGACGAGGCAAGCGGCCCGCTCGCATCCCCCGGGGACGTATGCACAATCTCCGTTGTTTTTGCATGGGCCCAGCCCGTACTTTGTACGGTCGAGTACCGACTTCACCGAGAAGATCGCTATGCAACGCGACCATGGCAGGAAGGCAAATTCTTGTACGTGTAGTGCGTTAATTATTTTTACGCCGCTTCGGGGAATTATTATAAACGACCGCGAAAAATAAACGTTCGCGGAGAAACCTGGAATCGTTCGACTTTATCAGCTTGCTATTTCCCAAAAGTTGGCAATACATTTCTCGTATATTCTCATTAATGGACTGTGGATCTTCGTGCGAATTCATATTTTTATTAATAGATAGAAATAATTGTCAATTCATTCTCTTTTAAAAAACTGTGATAAATTTTCAGAAATCCAGTGGAGTAGATTTTTGACAATTTTTATTAGAAATTACGAATGGGTCATTTTGAACATTCTAATGTTAATGAAATGTAAACTTTCTGGAGGGTTGAAGCAACAACCCCTAAATATAATAATTCCCATCTTACTTTAAGTATCTCTTATATGTTTGCATATCAATTGCTTTCTGTAGTTTTTCGAAAATTTAAATTTCCTATAAATGCATAGATATCTGCAGTCTACTCGTAGGTTATGGTTCGAGATTGTTTTAGAATAAAACTTGCACGACATTCAAGAAGAATCGTTTAAGAAAAGAAACAAACGCTATGAATACTTTTTAGACATTTTTATAAAAAGCAAATTCGTCGGGAACGATGTCCTCTACTCAACAATTAGGTGTATAATTCTTTAGCCAATTTAAGCTTTTGGTTCAACGCCTTCTGATACATTTATTTGTAGTTATTTTTTTGTTTTCGTAACCTTAAATATCGTTCTACCTCTCGTCGTAATTACAAGTATATTTTAAGCCCGTAATTTTAATTTTCTCACCTGTTAAAACATACAGTCGAGCTTATTTGGAATAAAAACGAACTTTACGATCAACCCAATACGATTGCGTGACGCGTTATAGGAAAATTATTAATTTTTAAAACATCGATCATCGATTGAAAGGCATTATAATTGGAAAAGCCTGTATTACCGTGTTATTAGAGTTGGTTATCGGTAACCGGAGTACCTTCGACGCGCGTAGACATTTCGATGTAGCAAGTTTTCGGAACCGTTCCTACCTTCCAGAGAGACCACCGGGTAATCCCGGGGTGTATTTTGGACAGACACCCCCGTGGCTTCCGGCCTCGCGTATCCGGTAAGCCAAGTAATCCCAACATAAGACTCCCAAGCGCGGTGGCTACTACGGGCCAGACTCACGCCGCATAACGTTACCGTGGATTACGATACTCCGCCCGAAACTAGCTCACAAATTACCTTGAGAAACCGTCGCGGCTTTACCGGAAGATATTTGCCCGCCCCTCCCGCCAGTTCCCCGGTTTCTATCCGGTTAGAGAGTACCGATATCAGGATTTATTATGGACGATAGAACGTCGATTATATTGATCGAAAAACACAACTGTCAACTGTCACACAAAAATGAAACAATTCACCCCTTGATGTACCATTTAATTCCAAATAATTTGCCAAACGTATACTATTTGATTTTGTTCAAATTCACGAAAAAGAATAGATTTGTTTTTTTTTATTTTCCTTTTCTCCATCATATTTCGTGAAAAATCCTTGAAAACAAAAACGAATTGCAACCAATTAAATGGCCTTATAATCGACCATTTAAATGGGTCTCTCATACTTTTCTGGACAACGTGCCTTAATTATAATCTAATGAGAAAAAAATAAAATCGAGAGATACTAGCAATATAAGATATTTAGTGGTTTAGACTAGTGGGTCTGTACAGCTTTAATCAGTATCAAATGAAGCAGTTTGCATACTTTGCAACATGAAGTTCTCTGAAAACACTAAGGGTGAGCTGTGGACTCGATGCTTGCCCTGTCAATTATTGTAAAACTGCATGAACTATAATTGTATTTCCATATTTTAGACTTGTATGTTATTAAAGCTTTTCCATAAACCCTTTAACGCAATTTCAGAACTTATTTGCCACAAAAATAATGATGTCTCATATCACCACCCCATTTTCTAGACGACTAAGTTTGCATCAATTTAGAAAAAACAATAGTCATACTCGTGCAGCCTATCACATATGAAATTCTCTAAATCCCAGTAATCAAAATTTTTAAACGTTGCCTATTCCGAGAGTCTCCAAGGTTAAAAAAGATGAAAAATCTCGTGTTTCTAGCGTTTCCTCTACCTTGGCAAGTATCCGGTTCACCGGGTGACGAATATTATCCCCCGTTCGCGAAGATCGGTATGTAAAGACGGGAGTATAAAGTCAGCCCTGGATCGGACAAGCGAATTCATTTATGCAAGTACGCGGATCCGTCCCGTGGAGGAGCACGATCACCAGCACGGGGGCTGTGACGCGTCGCATAAACGTACGCGAGTTTATCGCATACACAGCCGCGGGTCGCGATCATGCCTGGAAGCTTGGCAATAAAGGCAAAAGATCGAAAAGAAGCCGCGTAAGAAGCTGCATCGCGTGCCAAGTCCCGCTGAGAGGAGGCAGATAGGTCTGTTCGCGTTAGCATAACTAGGCGACCAACTTCAATATGTACAAGAAGTCAACGAAGAAGCGGTCGCTGCCCGTTCGATCCCTTCGATCGGCATCCTTAATCAACCGGGGCGGTCTTATTACGCGACGTTATATTTTCCAGGACGGCCATCCGGCTACCTTCGCCTCCACGTCTCTCTTCGGAGTGTCTTCCGCGGAGCGTTCGTCTTCGTTTAGACTCGCGTTAAATCGTGGAAGCATCGAATAGAAACAGGACTGGGGAAGGGGACAAAAACGAATGAAACAGAACGAAATTGAAGACAAATCGCAGAAGGCAACAACGGGAAAAACGAGTCGATCCCGATATGGAAAAACTCGGCCGACACTTGGACGGCGAGCTGACCGCTCCGTGTTTATTATTAAACTAGATGGTTACTTTTAGTCTTTCTCACTTGACTGCACGCGCGGAAAATTGAAAAATTGATCAAACAAACGCTACATCGGACAGTAACGTGTAAGAATCGTTGGAAATTATTATAAATGTTCTGTCAGAGCTTGCTTCTGTTACTTCTGTGAGAACAATTTGTTGAATCGTGGATAAAATCAAAGAGCTTGGCTTGGTTTCTTCTGGCAACAATTGGGACTTTGAACGGTATAATTCGGTGTATTTTCAGAGGAAGAAGTACAAAAAGTGTGGTGCAGGGACCATTTTTGCAGTCACTGTGTCTCTGTCCATAACAATTCTGAGATTACACGAGTGGAATTGTGGCTGACAATTTTAAGTTACAGTGAAGATTTCTGAAGAATTCATTGCTTCGAAAACGTCTTCGTTTATGTTCCACGCGGACAAATCTTCCCCCCTGAAATAAAATTCCAATACGCAAATCTGCGAGGCAATAAGAGCTCTCTGGACACGCTGGGAGAAAGATGTCGCCGGACGTGCTTATTTTCGACGTGGCAGCGTGCATCGACGACAGGCCGTAGTTCGAGTCAGAGGATCTACGATCCCGGAGGCGGACGCGGGTATTCCATAGTTTTCAACAGTTAGTTATTTCTTGTTTCCGATGTTGGTAACACGTTTTAGTGTCCATAGATGGCAGGGGCGGCCCTTCAGTCAGTACTGCCAACGTAAAAATCCCGCATTGATTGATCGGCCTCGCAACGGCAGCGGCAAGAAGGTCTTCTGGCGTAGAGCGCGGAAAGGAGAAAGGGGGAAGAGAAGGGAACGGAAAAGAAATGCGGGGAAGATAGTAGCGAGAGAAAGAGCCACGAGAACCGGCAAGAAATAAAGATAAAGAAAACAGAACGGAGGTTTCATGTTGTTCCCTGACGTACACAGAGTGAAGAACCTTTGGGACGGGAGGCCAGCAGATAGCGCCTTGCGACTTTTTAATATGTTCATAATGCGAGCACGTTTTTGGGGGGTCTGTTTCTCGGACCACCTCTAGATCATCGACTTCTTCTGTCCCCTTTTCTCCGCGTTTCGCCTTTCCCTCCTTTGCTCGCGCGCAGACGTTTCGAGGCTTCTTCACGACGGAAGCTAAACTTTTTTTGCCGCGGCCGGGTCCAGTGACGTAAAATATGTCTCTGTTCCGATCGGGCCTCGAAAGTTCCTCAGCTTTTTAGCGGTCCTGCGAGACCGGGTGTCTGTGCGGAATGTTGATGGACCGTCATCGTCGCTTTGAAGCGAGTTATTGCGCCCGGACACTTCCAACACTTTGTTTGCATACTCGTTTCGAAGCTTTTTTTTTATCGACAATAACCACGAAAGCATCGAATAAACTACAATCACCCAAACATTCGAGCACCGGTACACTTTTAATATTATACCGGGTATTTTGAATATACAATAGACAAAGTATATAATAGACAGTTCCAACATTCTGTTTGCATACTCGTTTCAAATCGTGTTTTTTATCGGTGATGCCAAGGATACATTGGACACAGTACGATGGTCACACAAATATTCGGACACTAGTATGATTTTAATATTATTATAAATATTTTGTTTCCATTCTCAATGATTTTAAAAAACGAGTTTTAATATACCGATATTTTTATAAGGCTCTGTGCAACAAAATTGATATTTCATAAAATATTTATCCTGAATAAATCACAGTTCGAAGCTGGGTATCTTTCTAAATATCAGACTTTAGAATGAATCGAAAATTGATCTTTCGAAAGGAAGAATTATCCTATTTGCATATTTCATGCTAGACAAAACGATTCCTAAACAGATGCAACGTGTGAGTCATAATTAATAACGTTCGTTCGCTACTCACCATTTGAATACAGCAGATGTAGACTATATTGGATTCCATTATTCGTTTTCTGGCCTTCGGATTCCTAGAAATAGACACACAATACATATTTTCACAGTCAATGTCTAACGTTTCAGTGTCAAATAACATACAAAGTATAATGTTAATCCTGAAACGGCACAATGGGGTCTTTCATTGTAAAATTTTCTTTATAAATTAATAAAAAGTGATTTATCTGATGAAATATAAGCTAGATTCATAACAGTAAAAAGGAAACACAGAAAACCCCAATGTGCACCAATAAGAAATACTTTTTGACATTTATATTGATAAAATAAAAGAAAATGGTTTTCGACTGCAGTGTCCATAAATCAAGAACTTGGAAGACACAATAAAAACAAAAAAAAACACATTATACTTTGCAGTAAATCAATTTGCAAAAATCAATGGAATTAATATTGTCTTTGATTTCAGTTTTAATGCGTTAACGTGTTAAAATTATCATTATCTTCAGTTCACAAGTACTCAGTGCGAGAGAATCTAAAACGTGGTATCTTTTAATCCCAGAGTGTGTTAGGCGAATGTAATCTTAAGCGTATAAACGTCATCTTTAATTACACGAGGTCCACATCGACGCATTAATTCGTAACGCTGATACAGGCGAAATTCAACGTTAAATCTCGTTAATCTTGCTAAATTTCGTCCGTGCTTAAATCGGTTCAAATGAGCGGTACACGAAGGAACGAAGAACTCACCCCTCGGCGTTCTTCGCGCCCCGTTCTATTTTAATTAAGTGCACCGTGACGTAACTCTCGCGCTCGGCCTGTTACGCCTCACGCTAATTATTAATTTCTTGATGTGTCGGTAAGAGTCGTGCCATTACGTGTGGCGTGCGATGCATAATTATCATCCAGCCCTGTTGACGAGTCATGCGTGCATCGCGCCATATGCCGCGACCACGGTAATGCATTTTCAACTACCTATCTGTAAAACCACCTACAAAACCAAACCCCCCTCCTCCCCTCCTTCTCCCGCAACGTGGCCACAACTTTTACCCGTGCATACGATCCTTTGACTCGAGGACTACCGTTACGGACCCATCGATTTTACATAAAATTAATGTAATTACAGTGACCGATCTGACGGCTGCACGTTACCTCGGTTATGCAATAATCATTGCGTGTAATTAACCATACTACTTTATACCATAACTGAATATTAACCGAATTTAATTTACGAAGCGAATAGACAGTTCTAAGAAGCATTTGGTCGATGATCGAGCAAAAATATGTTATCGATCAATTAACCCCTAACTAGTGAGTTTTACACTACGTTAATGATTCTATGGTATGAACGTAAGATACATCGTAATTTACAAAAAATACATTTTTGTGTAGAAATGTTGACTCGTTCAATAATTACGAGAATCGTAACACTTCAAAAAAATTCTCAAACGCTAACAAACAAAGCTTGCTCTTCGACAGTATGGATTTAAAAATTCCTCGTCCAAGAATTAACCCTTTTAAACCGTTTTAAATTAAATCAGATTAAACAGTAAACTTTAGACTTTCAAATAATTTGAGATAGACCAGAAGGTCGACGGTACCATTTTATCCATGACTGTACCCGCAGAGTTTGAAGTAGTTTCGATCCGTGATTTCTTCAAATCGACCGGGGCAAGTACGCAACATTTTTCTATCGAACTCTGATTACGGTGTACCGGATAAGCATCGTTACATCGCGGACGTATCGACATAATTCTTCTCTTTTTCTTTGGCCGCGTGCACGCATTAAGCTCTTTCCTGTCGCCAGCGTTTGTCACGGCCATTAATCTCTAAATTCGCAGGCGCACGATGGACGTTAATCAGGTATATATACCGGGCGGTTCGGTCGATCCACGACTACTTTTTAATTAAACACGGATAAAAAGCGGATAGAGAACGGAGAACGGAACGGGGAGCCCCTGTATTTACGTAGGGCACCAGTTTCCGGGAATTGTGCGGCTGCCATCGCGCTGACACGCTTTATTTCCAGCCTTTTATGCTGGCTACTTGCGGCCATTGATAGGCGTACCGATCGACCGTCGACTATTGGCCTCGTTCGCTTAAATAATTCAGCACCATAAAAATATGCAAATGTTTCTCTATCTCGACGAGGATAAGCGAGGGTGAGAATAGGCGCAGGTACGCTCAGGCACAAACGGCTACTCGACACCGAGGACTGATCTATGTCCGCGGTGCATGACCCTAATTAATAGGGAGGCTATGCAACGCAACTGTCCCGGTCATGTGAATTATACATAGACGTGCTCTTAACCGAGGATGGGGAGGAATGGAGATATCAAGATAAGCGATGCAAATCGAATCGAAGGAATAGAAAGTACACTTGTTACCTGACTTGCAAATGAGCTGTTTTACTGGTTCGTTTGTTGGTTAATTTGTTCGTATTGCGACTAGATCCTGGCTCTAGTTAGATACGGCTTCCGCGCGATCAAAGCCACGCTTCAAAATCAATTCTTCATCAACTACAAAATTTCTCTTGATTCTTTCATCAGGCCAACATAAAACTTCAACATCTATTCTTTGAAACCACTCGTGACTATATTTTGATTTCAGACCATTATAAGCTGCATAACTTAAAATTTGTAAATTTATTTTTGTAATCTCGTTAAAATTCATGAATCCTATTCAAATTTATTACCTGTAACATTTCAGTTTAAGATCTAATTGTTTTAGTTTCACCGTGGAAAGTCTTGTCACTCACATATAGCGTGACAATCAAAGTGTTGACATTTATTGCACACATGTTTATCGAAATTATGTCCAAGTTCATTTTAAATTTAGAGTGAGTCAAAATTATGTATTAAACTTAATTCTAATAGTAAATAGAGTCAAGGAGAAAAACGACCAAGTCACAGAATAACAAAAATCTTTAAGGATGAAAGAAATTTATCGTTTGCCAATCTTTCTAACATTAGAACGTGTGCTTTATCTTATAAAACATTAAACGAGATAATATTCCCCTATATTTTCCAAGGGTTGAGTAACGTTCCTTAAGGTCCTGTATTTCTTAGTTTGTGAGTGTTTAAATATTTATTTGGTTTCGCGTTGACGTCGATTTTGAGTAAAAAAAACTATTTCTCGGGCAGTTTAGGAGAAAGAAGTTTCGATCGAGTCGTTTTACAATTTCAAATTCCAGTAAGAACAGATGCATCGCCCGGTCAAATTAGCCGACGATTTATGGCGGAGAGATTTATTAGGGGATGTATGTCATTACCCCAAAGCGTGAAAGAACGAAGAAGGAAAAGAGCGAACGTGAAATAAGGGTAGTAAAAAGGGGCATGAGGGAAAGATGAGAAGAGGACGTTTATCTAGAATTTCAGAGATTACAGTTAGAGTTACAACAATCTGTGTGTATATAGATATTCCTTTTTACCCATAGAAAAATTGAATATGAGTTAAACTTATAATAAAAATAAAACGATTTTATCTTAATCCTGAATATCTATTTTTTTATTATCATTTCCTAATTTTCATTCCGTTGTATTACCAAAACATTTTACTGTTTTTATGCAATGATATACTGTAGATATGCACAAAGCTGCGGTGAAAATTAAGTTTTCGAATTAAGTCTTTATTAGTTTGGATTTCTGTTGTGTGGACTATCGATCGGTGCACGTGATCGATTCGACGATGTACGAACACGCACTTTGCTAGTTCTTCTACACGTGATAGAACGCCAGGAAGGAGTACGCGAGCATTCGTACAAATCCGCGTGTCCGTTCGTCCGAAGTATCTCCCGGCGTAGCGATTTCTCTTGTGCAAGAATCAACGCTGAACTGCGTTGCAGTCAACTTTTCCTTAAACAGCTATACTAATTGACCAATAGAAAGTGGAGCTCTAACGATTACCACGGTTGACAATCGCTTCCCATTCCAGCACAGGGTCGCGACAAGTCTGCGTAGCACGAGCCAGATATCATTTTTGGCGATGATTTTAATCTGTCCCGCGTACGGAGAGAGCAGAGACCAACGGAGGCCTCGATCGTGGCCCTAGACTTCTTTAAAGGTACGCCGTCCCCGTTCACGGCTAAATACACGTTATTAATGGCGATGGATCGTTAATTCGATACACGACGTCTTTACGGTAATTGAATGATCAGCCCAATAACTGGGTTTCGCTTCGACAGGATAATAAATAGCCACGTATCGCCAAACAAGTATTAAAGGCTAATTTGCTACGTAATTACCGACCATCGTCGGGGCTCTGATTGTTCCATCCAAACAAACACTTTGAAAAACTCTTTTGTCCTTACGGTGCAAGTTTAACCCTTTTCGAGCTGGACATTATTGTGATTCGACGGAAATAGCTGACAATTACTTCAACAGTATTCGTAATATGTTTATTTAAATTGTTAATATTTCTGTTCAAATAATTTATCAAAAAGAGATCCATATTATGAAAACAACCCTTTCATAGTTTATCTTTCAATAATATTTGTATTACAGAGTATTTAACGAAATATTTGTATAAATATCACATAACAAATAAAATAAAAAATTATTCTATTTAACATCCAAATAGCATTATATCATTTGTAAAATTGTTTGACCATTTCAACTAACGTATAGTTATTTCAAATAAACACGTAAGCAAATAAAATAATATATTGTCTTAATGATTATTTTTCAAATAATTTATTTGGATAATGCCCAAGATTGGAATTAGTGTTAATTTTAGAATAATTGAGTAATGAACTTTTCAAGGTTCTGTCTTGTTCGAGGATGATAAGATGAAGTCTCCGATAAAATAGATAAAATAAAGTTCTAAAAGTTTCGACATTTCTGGTTGAATCGACATTTAATAGTTATTTAAAATAAACACGTAAGCAAATAAAATATTATATTCTCTTAATGATTATTTTTCAAATAATTTACTTGGATCATGCCCAGGCCTGGAAGTGGTGTTAATTTTAGAATAATTGAGTAACGAACTTTTCTTTGATCCGATAAAATAGATCAAATAATTTCGAGCGAAAGTTTTAAGTTTCGACGTTTCTGGTTGAAATGGCGTTGATTTCCGAATGATCGAGTAGCAGATTTTCGAGGTACCGATCCTGTGGGAGGAACAGTGAGAAGATGAAGTCGGTGATAGGGTGGAAAGACACAGTGGCGAATGAAATTAGCGAGACCGTTTATTGTTCGTAAGTTACGCGGTCCGCGGGACCGAAATCGATACCCTTACGATCGCGTCAGTCCATTTCTCACGCGGTCAATGGATTTTCGCCTGTCGGACTAATTGCTGGAAAAGCTGGAGGTGTACCCCGCCGACTATCGATATGTATACGCATAGGCGGAGGCGTTTAATATTTGACGTCACCCCCGATGGAAATGGCAATTATCGAGATAAGCGTGCGCCCGCACGATATTCCCCGACGTCATAAAGGTCCACCTCACCTTTTTCCACTTATTCTCCCGGGAAGACCAGGGCTACCGTGAGCATTGAAATTCCAAAGTTGTCACTCGACACCAACCCTTCCTTTTTAACTCGATGTATCGACGATCCCTGCCCGATTTTTATACCGTTTGTTTATGCAGCTCGTCCTTCGCTCGCACGGTTCATTTTTGTTCCGAAGTTTGACTCAAATTATATAAATATGGCGTAAAAAGAGATCAAACAGAGGTTAAGAATTTTGTATGTGGAACTGGGTCAAACAATTTTTATTTAACCAATTTTACGAAATTTTTGCCAAAATTGATCTCCCAACCCCCTCTATTTTATAATATACAATCTTCTTTGGAAAAGATAATTTTAATTAAGTTTGTTTTTGATTTTAACGCTATTTTTATCAAGGTCTTACGCCTCCCTATTTCGACCAAATGTGTATATCTATATCTTTGCATTCGAATGCAAACAATTGAGGAAATATTTGTATAAATCGTGAAAAAATGATTAAATTTAGAAAATAATTTCAAGTTAATTTTGTGCTGTTAGAATTTTGGCCATAGTAAAATTCAAAGAGCGCTGGAAGCTTGGACGCCAATATAAGTAGAAATGGCGAGTAATGGACGGACAGCCAGGCAAATTCAGACGTGTACTCCGTAGATTTTCAAATTTAATTATCTTGGAAACGAAGCCTCCAACGAAAAACTTTTATTATACGTTTTCGACTTATTTTTTCATGTCGTCACCGCTTCGATTATACCACGATTACTGGAATACTCTATATAGTAATTATTACGATTTTTATGCTACTCATCAATTTCGTGAAATGAATATTTAAAGATTACTTCAGTTTGTTATTAAAAAATATTGATTGTTAATAGAATTGGAATATACAATGCAAGGAAACATCTCTAGCAGTGGACAAACGTTATAATTCGTTATAAAATTAGAAAGTTAATAACAATCGAGTAATACAATTCTCAATGTTGGCATAAATGTTGAATTTTGCACAAATGTAGTTTAAATTATCCTTTCAAAGAAACCATTTTTTATTCATTACAAAAATTATGGGTCTCCATATTATTGTGAATATCTTATTTAATATATTTTAATTTACTCTCACTCCCTCAACTTTTCCAAGTTTTATTTTAATATGATATTCATGTGAATTTTAAAGGTTCCTCATAAGTATTTGTATGATTCGAATCATGAAATTTTTTGAACAAACAAAATTTCCCCCTTTTCTATAAATCATACATTTCAGTAAAAGTGTAGCCATATAATTACACATATTTAAATAATGCTCACTGTAATATATAAATAGTATAAAATATATCATTTGCACGTGTCAAGTAATTTCACATAAATATTTAAAGACAGAATAAATATTGGAATTGAATCTCACGTAGACCACGGTTTTATAAATAAATAAATCAAACTTACCTGATCTTTTTCGACAAATCCCATGAAGGAAGTCCTCTCTATTTCGATCGGTTGACCGTGTCGATCGTAGAGTGCGATCACGAAATGGAAGAAATTACTTTTCCTTAAATTACTTGGTGGCTGTTTCTCGAAATGTGCTCTGCCTACTCCGACTCTGAAATTCACAAAGAATATTTCGTTATTTCAATATAATATTATCTATTAATTGTTATGAAACAAGTATGCACCTTTACTTTTGTCAAACTGTGTTTCGTTTTAAACCAAAATTCGTTATAACCAAACAAATGTAAAGTACGCGAAGTCAAAGGTACATATTTAATCGTTTCAACAATCGAATTCTCTTTCAAACGTATTACAAAATAAAGAATATAAATAGTTAATAAAAAAAAAAAACAAAATGGATATTGATATAGAGAGTAAAGATTCAAGATACAATAAATAATATTCTACGTACGACCATAATATGTATACACATGTAGTTATCGAAAAAAAATGCTCATTTTGAGTTTTGGAACATTAATAAAAATATTCTGTTTATGAATAAAAATTATGATTTGCCTCAAATATCTTGCAATAGTAATTCGATAACAATTGAGGAAATATTTCTATAAAAGAAATCCCATTTCTCAGAAATATTTCGAAAATGATCTTCGAGTTGTAAATTTCTGTTTTCTTCGCCTGTATCATGCGGAGGAATGACAAACATTTCGTTACGAGTAACCGGTATGAAGATACAGCGTGCGTTCCACGTCGTGAAACGATGCTCGATACCAAACTCGGACGTTAAACGTGAGATCCACCATCGTAGGGTCAAATAGGTATGTCTTACTCGACCTTGAATGCAATAAGAATGCCCAAACTGGTAAGAGGAAAGACAAACGAGGTTGTCCGTGGGGGAGCGCGCAGGTGGCCTCTACGCCTTAAAATCCCATTAAGGTCTCATGTGCCGAGATTAGGCCACCGGACTCCAATGCCATCTTTGAGTAATGGCACGGAAAGTCCCCTTTTCGAGTGCGCTGCTTCACGTAGTCCGCGTCTGCGATTAAACTTGGACTGATCTCGTAAAACATGATTTTTCATTCGGCTTCGCGTCACGATTGATAATATCTTTTTCACGATAACGTTCGACGAACTGCCTCTACTGCAGGAGGACTTCCGCTGCATCGACGAACGTCTCCAAGATTATATTACTTTCACAAGAATTCAATTATTACGTTTTATCAGCTTTTTGGTAAGTTAATATTTAAGGGAATAAGTTCTCCACAATTTAATTCGATGTCTACGACGCACCTGTATTTAGTTTCAGAGGACTTCCTGTGTATCAATTAACGTCAGGGGTTGCATCAGCACCTTTTTATAAAAATTAAACTGCATCGAATAATTCTGTCAAAGTTCTACTTTTTAAAAGGTGCAATTCTTTGGATACACCAAAACATAACAGTGATTCAATACTGTTTAAGTTTTCTTTATAATATTTTTATCAATTTCTGATCGTTTTCGTCAAAGTCTACCTACTCGAATTTTTTTCTCGAAAGTGCGTAGGATTTCGGGGGTGTGTCTATTCACAAAAAATGATTGTTATTAACCCTCGCAATCAAAAATAATTTTTTCGAAATGATTTGAAATTTTTTAATTTCGCCGAAAAATTTTTTAACGAAGCCTCAATTAACAAATTGGTATTCTTAATTTTCGTCTTATTTTCCCATTCAAATTTTTCCCAGAGATGGCCGAATACCCTGTACACACTACATTGCCTTACTGACGTGGCCCCCAGTACCTGATCCATCGATGACGAACATAATTTATATTATATTAGGTTATATTATATTATAGGTGTTAAAAACATTAAAAAACGTGGGCAATGATGTCTCAGAATGACCATCCCCCTAACGATCATCGAGGAAGGTTACTTAAAAGACAATTACTGCCATTGACAGACAACTTGTGATGTCACTTTCTACTCTCGTCAGCAGAGGGCTACTCAACCTCTATCTTCCTCACAAGTACTCCTCTTTGCTTTACCGATGTGTCCACTATCGCCTCTTTCGTTGATGACAAATATAAAATAAGGTTCGTAGGTATTAAAAACACTAAAAAGGCGTTGTGCCCCAGAATGACCATCCCCCTAACGATCAATGGGGAAGGGGTTGCTCAAAGGACATTAATAACTGACAAGTACAGTTCTCCGAGGTTGTTCATCGGGAATCGAGTGTCTATGTTTTATTAAGCAACCGATCCCGGGACGAGCAGGGTACACGTCGGGAGGCCAGGGTGCGTCGGGTCGAACCCCGGCCGCGGAGAAATCGCATTATCGGTCGGCGGTGGGTGCACGGGGTGCCGCGATCGCCCCGGCATCGCCGTGAAGCGATAAAACGATCGCGCGGAATGCCATCAGGACGGACTCTCGGAGCGGAAAACTGAATCGACGGGACCGAAAATGAATAGCGGCAGTTTTGCAGCACATTTGCGAAATAAATGATGGTATCGGCGGTGCGTTTGTCACGGTAGGCGGTGGGATGTCGGTCTGCCGGCAGGCAGAGGAGGCAGAGGAGGAGGTTACAAGGGGTTTGCCATCCGGGTATTCGAGGTCGAAGGGGGTGGTGAATCCGGTGCAGAACGAAGAGAGGGTCCGCTGGAGGGAAGGAGGCCACCACGGGCGGCAGGGTTGCCGGGAGGGGAGTGATGTACTGCCCGTGTCGATAATTATCGGTGGCTGATTAACCGGCCGCCGGTTCGCGCCCCATAACTCTCGACGTCCGATTATTTTGCCCTGTTTGCCATGCACCAATTCCTATATAACGTGTAGGCACATCCTGCCGCGCCGTTACATTATCACCTGCGGTGCGATTGCCGCACACCTTTTTGGAAACCGTTGCGGATTGCGGAGCGCCGCGCAGCCGCGGTTGCAAGACTATGCTCGTTAAAATAACAATATGCGAGCACCAGCGGTCGCGTTTTATTTCGCGAATGGGGGGACCACCGATGATGATTTTCCACCCTGATCGTTTCGCGAGTTCTTCAGGGATAAGATAAGAATTCAGGGGAAAGATAAGATCTCTAGCTTTTAAATATGAAATGAACAATACGACAATTTAAAAATGAATTATTATTGATGATATCTTCTTGGCACGTAATTCGAAACATCGATTTGATACGTCGAAATAAAACTTTCGAGCAGTTGTTTTAGAAAATGGAAAAACCACTGTGGAGGTTAGGATGTTTTCAAAGGGAGAAACTGGGAACTGTGCAACGTGCCAGTGAATCTAGATGCCGAGGCAATTTAACAGCCCGGTGTAATTATAATCACGCGGCGGGAGAGCGTTTCGCGCCAATATTCCTTTATTAAGCACCTATTTTTCGCCTCATTTCCTGCTCTCATCACTTGCTACGCGTGTCCACCATTTAAGAGCTATCAATCTGTTTTCCTGTTCGCGTAGTCCACCGCTGCATGAATATTGAATCGTGCGCGCGTGCTCGGTTCATTATTCATTTTGAATTTTCCAACTTTCGAGCGACCGTTCAAGTTGGGAACGAACATTCGTAAATAAATTTGTCGGAATAGTTGTCAAACATTGAAATACGGAAGCAGGTTCCATTGATCCTCGTCCAGCGAACTCCAAGTCCATTTGGACATACGCAAACTGTTTATTTCAGTGTCTTTAAGTGTTGGTTTTTAATATATAGCTTTTAGAATTAATTATTTGTTTATGTAAATAACTGTGAAGGTAATTGTTAATGCTAAGCATGTTACTCAAGAAAAATGATTGAAATAATTTCAAGTTAAAAGATGTCTTTCGACACCTTTGATAGAAATGGGTTTAACTCTGTAATTATACGCAATAGGAAAACATAATTCGAGTAAATGTTAGTCAGTTCGATGAGAGCTATTCAAAATAAAAAAAAAGAGAATAATATCCTCTTCTATTTACGAAATTCTAGGGGGTCCAAATTTTCATTCCCAACAGACGTCTCGAAAACTATTGGTCGCGAAATGATTAACTTAAAAAAGAAATGGAGTCGATATCTTCGTTGATTTCGCAGAAAACGGTTTCTAACGCTTTATTTGGAGCGCGTGGTATAAATCGTTGGTCGATGAAAGACGTGGTCACGCGTTTGAAAGCAGAACGAGTCGGAATGTTGGCAATTTCCAAAGAAAGGGTGTTGCGATAATTAGTATGTAGGGAAACGACGGCTTGTGTGCCTCGAGTATACAGTGTGTCCCCACGCGACCGGGAGAAGCTATATGGTTAGCACTGAAATGGTTAGAAATACGAAAAAACGCCAAATTCACAACTGAATATCATTTTAATTATTTCCTTCTTTTTTAAAGAAATTCAGCCACTACAAAAAAATATAACTCACGCATCTTTATGCAAATTCATAAAATGGAAGTTTTGCAAAGGGTTGTTTCAACCCCTAAATACAATAATTCGTATCTTACGTATTTCTTATATTTTTACATATACAGTGCAATCTATAGTTTTTTTGAGAATTAAAATTTGTCATAAATGCATAAACATCCGCAGTCTAATCATTACTAGATTTAAAAAAGCAACATGAACGATGTAAAGTAAATCATTTCTTCTCTTCTGATCATAAAAAGATTGTTCTTTAAATAATAGTATATTCATTGCACGATTTAAAACCGATTAAGAAAGAGTTTATTGAAATGTCTAGTTTGTCAGAAAAAAAATATAAAAAGAGACTTTCTTTACGTTTAAAATAGAAAAGAAAAGCTCCAAGAAGAATAAAAGAGAGGTCTATGTACTTTCAGAAATGTTAATTTTCGCGTTAAGAAATTATTAAAGTTTACTGAATCATTTCTCTTCGTTTGAAGTGGTCTGTGCTATTACACATTAAAATGTTTGCAAACACGAGCCATTTACGAGTACCGAAATAGTTAGCTAAATTTCCAATAATTTTGAGGATATATATGCAATAAGAAGGCGATTTTCGCGTAAAAGGGGCGCGACCAGGGCCACTTTCGTCGAGTATTTCGCGCAGGGGTCGCGCGTTGCGGGCCACACTAATTGTAAGCGACGCGGGGATGATAATTATGGGCTCGATTCGCGCGCGCAGTATCCACGGTGCACAATTTGCCACTCGCTCGTTTTTGGATAGCAGATAACGCTCGTCGATGGCGTACAAACGCGT